AGTTGGCAAATATTGTGAAAAGAGGGACCCTCATCTGGCCTGCGTTGCTTATGAGAGGGGGCAATGCGATCTGGAACTCATAAAGGTTAGCAAAACTGCATTTATAAACATGTTAAAGTACTATTTGCTGCCTGAAGTGGAAGCCTAGCAGGCTATTTGTCTAACACCTGCAGAATCCTGTCCTGCAGCCTCACTCAGGAGTTGAGGTAGGCAGGATTCTTCTATACAGAGGCAGTAATTGTTATGCTGATGGGAAGAACTATTATGCTATATGTCTGAACTAAAATCGTATAACTCTGCAACTTTAAGGTGTCATTCATGTCTTTCATCCACTGATTCTGCTCAAAATGAAATTGTTTATTTGGCCCACCTGATGAATATGCCTGCTGTTAAACCTTTGTTAATTTGATTTTTTTCTTTTTTTTTTTGAGCCTTGAGCACTCGGTCAGCAGAAGGGACAGACTGTCACCTAGGTTCATTCTACAGTAGGAGGAAAAGCTTCCTTAAAACTAGAACAGGGCTCGTAACTTCCCGTTTCTGTGCCTTAGAGTTGGTCCAATACTTAACTAGAAATGAGGAAAATAAATGTTGACAGTCAAACTGCAAGGACTTACTCTGATAGCATTCCTCTCCTATCTTAAGCTTGTTGATTCCCTTGGAACCTCCCTTGGAAGTTCAAGGGCAAGTGAAATTCCCAGGGTTCTCCAAACACATCCTAGTCTCAAACTGAACACAAGAGCTTAATGCCAGATTGTAGTGCTTGTGGCTGCTGAGAAAGAAAACATTCTCCCTCCTACCTGCACTTCCACACTAGTATATGCAAAGAATGTCAGCTGTGTAGGGGTAAGAACTAGCTTGTTTTGCCCTGTTTGAAAGGAACTAAATGCTGTTCCCTGACAAGGCCTACCCTGTGAGTGTTAGAATGGTGGCACGATCTAGGCTTGCCGCTGAAAGTGGATGACTTTCCAGCCTGAAGCAATACCTCTGATGTAGCTGTAAAAAAAAACAAACAAACAAAAAAAAAAACAAACAACCCCCAACCCAAACAACCCAGCTGGCTACATTTGGCTTTTTCATTTCAGGATATGAAGGTGGCTCTGAGTTGTTGTTTTGCTAGGAAACTTTGCTAGGATAAGCTTGAACATTATGGTTAATGATAAAAACCTGTCAGTACCAGATTTTTCCTTGAACTGATGTTCTCACCAGGTGTTTCTGGTCATGGAGAAGAGATCTTCCTCCTGTAAGAATTATTCTTGAGACATTGCATCCTAGAAGAGGGCTTAACTCCTGCAACTAATAGATGTATACTGTAAAGCAAAATTATGCTACTACTAATTTTCTTACAGCAAAGTACTTAAGATTCCAAGAGGTAATTTGGATACTAACAAAACATGACCCATTGATAGAAGACTGAAGTTGAAGCTACCGGTACTAAAAGGATCATAACTCATAACTCTTCCTTGCTGCGCTTCTATAGATTTCACATTTATTCTGTACCCTTGACACTTTAAGAAGGGAATCCAAGCCACTTGCTACTCTGAACACTTCTAGGCTAAATTTAATGACACCAAATACGTAACCTGTTTCTAGCTTTAAACGCCAGCACCGTTCCTCAGTTCACTGCTTAACATTGCCCAGGCAAGTGGCTCCCTTTCTAGATTTAAAACTTAAGTTCTTCAGGCTTCTGCAGGTCTTCACTTCAAACAGAAGCAAATAGTTACTGTGAAGCCACTGTCACAGTATTTGTGTGTCGGGCAAAACCGAGAGAAGCTATAGAAATTCTGCTGGAGACCTTCTCCATGAGCCTTCCAGATCAGAGGTTGGGTAAGAACTTGTCTGTGGCATTTAGCATTGGTCAGCAATTAGTTCTAGTCAGTCTTCTAGACTGTTTGATTCATAGCTAGCTAAACCTGTCTTGTGGTGCTAACCCTTAACACCAACACCAATATTTGTAACTTCTCCTTCAGGTCTGCAATGAGAACTCACTGTTTAAGAGTGAGGCTCGCTATCTGGTGCGCAGGAAGGACCCTGAGCTCTGGGCAAATGTTCTGGAAGAAAACAACCCATTCAGGCGGCAGCTTATTGACCAGGTACAGCGCAAATGCTAAACTTTTTCAGTATGAGGAGACCTCAGGTTGTCTCAGAAACATTATGGAGCATTAAAGTAGCTGTCTTCTCTCCATCTCAACCATACAGAAACTTGGAGGAGTTTGAGCAGCAGGTAGCTTCCTGACCGTGAAGGTCAGAGTTAATTAGTTACCAGAAGATATATTTTCTGTCCTGTGGAATGACCTAACTCTAGTGAATTTGCTCCCTATACAGACCCAAGCTGTGACTTTTATAGCTATATCCAGTATAGAAGTAGCTCTTTCTTGCTGTCTATGACAAAATACTCTCAAAGTTCTGAAGCCTTAATTTGTAGTTCACTGGAATAGGTTGGCAAATGTCTCATTTGGGGAAAACACTTAATACTTCCCTGCCTTCAAATCCAGGTTGTCCAAACAGCTTTATCAGAGACGCAGGATCCAGAGGAGGTTTCTGTAACTGTGAAAGCTTTCATGACTGCTGATCTGCCTAATGAATTGATTGAGTTATTGGAAAAAATTGTCTTGGATAATTCTGTATTCAGTGAACACAGGTAAGAAGAGAACTTTGTCCATGAGTTTAGCCTATTTAGTGCTTTTTCTTAAGGTTGTGAAGTGACCCAAGTTATTTGTGGGCCTCTTCGTTGCAGGACCTGTACGCTCTTAAATGTGTATAATCAGGTGAAAAAAGCAGAATTTAAAATGCTCTGTGCTTTAAGAACAGAGCTAGTTCACACTCTGCAGTTTGCAGTGATGTGTTGAGAGAAGAGAACACTGATATTGGTAAGCAATTTCTTTTTGAAAGCAAATATCAGTGCTTCTCAATCTGGGGGTGAAAGGTTGTTGCTAGTGACAGGAAGCGGGTGTATTTTTTTTTTTGCATGTACAATACATCTCACTTAAGCAGGTGTTACCATGCACTGCTTAGCCTCTCTGTCTTCTGTTAACCAAAGGAATCTCCAGAATCTGCTCATCCTAACTGCCATTAAGGCTGACCGCACTCGTGTGATGGAATACATCAATCGACTGGATAACTATGATGCCCCGGATATTGCAAACATTGCCATCAGTAATGAGCTATATGAAGAAGCCTTTGCTATATTCAGAAAATTTGATGTTAATACTTCAGCAATTCAGGTGAGGTGTGGTTCCTGCATGAAGGTATAGAATACTAGTAATAGACAGAATGGGAAGTGTATTGTTTAATTGATTATCAAGGAGTGATTGTCAAATCATTGAGACTTACGCGTACAGGTCCCATATGATATCAAGTTGCAGGGAGAAGTGGGATTATGTCCAATGAATAGCAAAACAAAGTCAAAAGACTGACTTCAGAGGCTGATCTGGTCAAAGTAATAAAAAAAAGTGTCGGGGTGCTGCATTGTATGCTTGGGCTGTGTGCATTGGATTTGATTGAGTGGCTACCTTGGAGACTCATACTACAAAAGTGCAGGAGAAGCAAACGCTACTAGACATTGTCTTTGGACCAGCATTACTGACTTCTGTAAGGTAGAGGAGAAACAGTAGCAACAAAAGTCTTACTTGCGATGCCTGTACTTTATTAGACAGAAATGGCTGTTCTAAAAGCAGTTAGCTTCATACTGCTTACACAGAACAGCGTATGTACTTGAAGGAGTTTTGTTAGAAAGGAGAATGTTATAAAGCTTTGATTTTTAACTTGCAACATCTATTTCAAACAGGTGCTGATTGAGCACATTGGCAACTTAGACCGTGCATATGAATTTGCAGAGAGGTGTAATGAACCAGCAGTATGGAGCCAGCTAGGCAGAGCACAGCTCCAGAAGGACTTGGTGAAAGAAGCCATTGACTCCTATATAAAGGCAGATGATCCATCTGCCTACATGGAAGTTGTTCAAGCAGCTAATAGAAATGGTAAGGCAAAGCATCCTCAAACTTAAGATTGTTTAGGTATGAGCTAGGTTATTGCTTCTACATAGAGCAGCAGGGATTCTTGAGGCTCATGAATTCTGTTTCAGGGGAAATGGGAGCAGTCAGTACGTGGAATGGATGAGTCAATGTTTAGTGAGATTCCTGTCAACAAGCTTGTCTGTGTTACTACACCAAAGATAGACCTTCATGTGGAGATAATTTGGACTGTTACCATCTAAAATATAGCCAAGTGTAATGTATTTATTTAGCAGTACGTGGCAGAATTTCTCGCCAACTAGATTGTAGAATAGTTGCAAGAAGTTCAACCTTACATGAAGGTGACTTAGTGTTTAGCAGGGAATTCCTTAACTCAAATGCAAATTGCTTAGTATCGTGGTGGAGGAGATCCTTGAGACTACTATTGAAAACTGTTCCGAAGGTGGGCAAGGTGAGCAATACAAGATGACTAAACAGAGGATCTTAATATGTCTTCTCTCTTCAAGATAACTGGGAGGACCTAGTCAAGTTCTTGCAGATGGCCAGGAAGAAGGCTAGAGAGTCTTACGTAGAGACGGAACTTATTTTTGCTTTGGCAAAAACTAATCGTCTGTCAGAACTGGAGGAGTTTATTAGTGGCCCTAATAATGCTCATATACAACAGGTATGTGTTGATCTGCAGTTCCCATGTATGGCTTGCTGTTTAGCTGACTCCTGATTCTTGCTGTTGCCCTTGTTTACCTTGGACTCCTAATCCAGGTTGGTGATCGCTGTTATGAAGAGGGGATGTATGAAGCTGCGAAACTACTCTATAACAATGTATCTAACTTTGCTCGCCTGGCATCTACCTTGGTGCACCTTGGAGAGTATCAGGCGGCAGTGGACAGTGGCCGCAAAGCCAACAGCACGAGGACTTGGAAGGAGGTAACTTAAACTTATGCTTTTAATATTCTGCAGAATGTCCTCCACTGCTGCTTCTGACCATGATGCTCTAGAGCATACCTGGACTACTTCACTCTGTCAGTAATGAGGGAATTAAAGAAGAGTTAATTCATAACTACCTACAGTTAGCTCTCATAGTAGCTTGCTAACTGTTTCTGGCTATAAGCTGTCCTCAAGATAATAAAGCTTAATTTCAAAACAGTGTAAAATGAACGCCAGAGATTTTAATTCTAGAGCAAGCATTATGGAAATACCTTTTTGGAACTGTATGTAAGACTCAAATGTGGTAAAGCTTTGCTAATTAACTTTCCCTTTAATATAAGGAGATTAAGTAAGCATTGCAGTATTCTCCGGTTGACTGGCTCTTATTACAGGTATGCTTTGCCTGTGTGGATGGAAAAGAATTCCGCTTGGCACAGATCTGTGGCTTACACATAGTCATCCATGCTGATGAACTTGAAGAGCTGATCAGTTACTATCAGGTTAGATCACTTTTAATATCTTAGAAGACTTTAGACAGCATGTTTGTATCTGCTAGTAAAATGGTCACAGATAAAACCATGATACCCCGTGGGGCTAATCTTTAAATTCATTTTTCCTCCATCTCTATTTCTTAATAGCTGTATATATTTTTTTTTTTCTATAGCAAATGGAAGGGTGATAGTTTTTGCTGTCCATTCTGTAACAGTTCTGTTGTCTCATTGGAATCATGTCTTGCAAGTCTAAGCACTCTCACTTGGAGAGAAAAGCAAAGCATCTTGAATTTAATTAAATATGCATTTTAGCAAGCTTTAAGTTCCAGTTGGTCGTGAATTTGCAATTAATCCTCATTTTCTTAACATCTAGGATCGTGGCTACTTTGAAGAACTGATTGCCCTTTTGGAAGCTGCTTTGGGCCTAGAGCGTGCTCACATGGGAATGTTTACTGAACTTGCCATCTTGTACTCCAAATTCAAGCCTCAGAAAATGAGGGAACATCTGGAGCTCTTCTGGTCTAGAGTTAATATTCCAAAGGTATGCAGTAACGTAGCTACACTAGACACGAAGTTGGGAAGCTGTCAGTCAATCAAACTGACTGACTTCTTGTTTTATCAGGTGCTGAGAGCTGCAGAACAGGCTCATCTCTGGGCAGAACTTGTATTCCTCTATGACAAGTACGAGGAGTATGACAATGCAATAATTACTATGATGAATCATCCCACTGATGCCTGGAAAGAAGGGCAGTTTAAAGACATAATTGCCAAGGTAAGTAACTAGTTAGCTAAATCAAAGTGCTGAAAGTTTCTTTCAGAACAGAGGCAACAACACACAACAGAATTGTTTAGAAAATGAGTTTGCTGAAGCTACTACTTGGTTTTCCTGCTGTACTTAAAACAACTTCCAATCAGTTTAGCACAAGAATTAATGTAATCTTACACCTTTTGTTTTCTGCTGTGCAGCACATTCTCTTGAGTGGCAGCAGCTAGCACAGGATGTTTTCAGAGACTGCTCAAGATCGTATAGGTCACAAGCAAGAGGTATAAACTCCTTAATACCTTTGAGCTGCCTGCTGTCTTAGTCTGAGGCTGTGACTGTTCTTGAAAGATCTCTGCAAATGTTTCCAGCTGTTTCGGTGGGAGAATTGCAATGGGCAGTCCCATGAATGCAGCAGAGAATTGTGAATTGATGAATAAACAATATTTGAGACTCAACACGTTCTTATTGCCCTTATGGGTTTCAAGGCAACAACTTAAAGACTGGTTAAGACTACAGCCGTTGCTGGCTTTAGGAGTTCAACAAATGGTCACATTAACTCTAGTACTCTCTCTGTGACAGATCTCTTAACCGTGGATGGGTTAGAATTGGTTTGTAGTATCCCTGGTAGCTTGTGACTTCACTATCTGGAAGCAGGTAGCACAAGAAGCAGTCATAAGATTGAATAAGAATTCTGCACGTAACTGTAACGTTTCTGGCCTCTAGAAGGAAACTTACGCTTTTATTTAAGAGTGAGATAAACCTTGTGCTGAGTTAAGAGATCCAAACTGAGCACCTTCGGCTTGCGTGTGTTTGAGGTACTAACTAGTATCTAACCATGCAGGTGGCCAATGTGGAGCTGTACTACAAAGCCTTGCAGTTCTACTTGGACTACAAACCTCTGCTGATCAATGATCTCCTGCTTGTATTATCTCCACGACTGGATCACACCAGGACAGTCAATTTTTTCTCAAAGGTGAGTTCGGAAGATGGTAGATGAATAAGAAATCCTCTTGCTAAAGTTAAGACACTCCAGTCTCTGGCTGGAAAAAAAGGGTTGACATCTGGCAGGTGGCTTTGCCTTCAGTATAAAAGACTGCGAAGCAGCCCAACCCTGGCTTGATATAGGAAACACTGGAAGAATTAGCATAACTGGCCTAGGCTGTTTTATTTTACTTCTGGCAATACAAGATGCTTTATCTGAAGGGTCCTGACAGTAAGCACAAACTCTTGTAATAACAAATGGGAACCTGTTTCAGGAGTATGAAGTGTCAGAATTGGTATACTTAATCTTGTATTGGAATCATCTTAATTCCAGGTTAATCAGCTACTTCTAGTAAAGCCTTATCTACGTTCAGTCCAGAACCACAACAACAAAGGAGTTAACGAAGCTCTAAATGACCTTTTAACAGAGGAGGAAGATTACCAGGTGAGCCCCACAAAATGGATTGCTAGACCTGAGGGATGCTCCTCTTTCCTCAACAAAAAGAGGCCATAGCTTGGTTCCCAGCTGACACAGATTAATTTCCTTGAGTAGAAGATAACTTCTGCAATGCAATAGTAGTGGGGGTGGGGTTAGGCCCTTTGTGGGCAGGAGTCTTGAGACCGTGATGATTTGCAAACAAAGCAGATGCCGCGGTTGTTTTTCTCAGAACAGACTTCACAAAGGGCAATATCAGATGTGTATTCTACCGGGCAACACTTCTGTAAGCAGATTTGCTTCTGGCCCTATTGGCTGCTATTTGGAAGACCTGCTTGGTCTTCTAAGCTTTCCTGTTCTGTCAAGTAAAGTCAGTATGACCAAGTTAGCATCTTGGTTTGTTAAAAATCATCTTTTGGAGAGATGCATGAAATACACAGAGTAAAAAAGCTGTAGCCATAGTATCAATGCCCAGCTGGCAGAACATAAAGACTCGGGTACCATGCTTAGATGCTTCTCTACTGTAGTTCTCACCTGCTACCACCTGGAAGCACGTGTAACAATTCTCTCTCAAACAGGGTTTGAGAGCTTCCATTGATGCCTATGACAACTTTGATAACATAACGTTGGCTCAGCGTCTGGAAAAGCATGAACTAATTGAATTTAGGCGTATTGCAGCATACTTGTATAAGGGTAATAATCGCTGGAAACAGAGTGTGGAGCTATGCAAGAAAGACCGTCTGTATAAGGTGAGTTAATGCAGCTTTTCTCCCTGGCTGGCAAAAAGAAGTCTGAAGCATGGATTCTGAATGTGTTTTGTTAGTTTCAAATCTGGAGTTCTAATTAGTCTTAGCCCTTCACTTGGGGAAGGACTCTTAGAGCAGAAGCATTTGCAATTTCAACTGCATATCTTAAATTTAATTTCATAATGTTATCCTGTACTCGGAGATCTGTCTATATCAATCAGTGGCATCTGTACAGTTTTCTGTGTCAATACAGAATATCTTCCATAGAACTGAAGACTTACACCTTGGTAAGACTACAGATGAAACATGATTATATAATCACTTCAAGCCTGTACTGAGTTCACGTGGGCCAGTTTTTGCCTACTCTGTAGGAGAGCTTGGCAAATAGTCTTCTGTCTTGTCACATAGCAAGCAGTTGGTGCAATAACCTCTTCTGCTCTGGGTAATCCTTAACATCTAATGGTGAGGTAGATGGGATACCAGAAAGATTGTTTATCTTCTGTGCTGCAAAACTAAGCAAAATCTCCTTAGGTCACTTCAAGTACATAAGGGAAGCCTATTGGATAATGTTAGTATCTGGGTTGCCTCAAAATGAGAGGACTTAAATGAGCTTATGTACTGTAGCTTGCCTCCTACAGAACATGCCTGGTGTTACAGACTAACTTTAAGGTATGCTAGATACCTGGCTTATCTAACTAGCAATAATATATACATAAGGTGTAGAGCAAGATGCGACAGGTGAGGGTCAAGCTTACCTGTTGTTCTTTTCTGCAGGATGCTATGCAGTATGCTGCAGAGTCCAAAGATGCAGAGCTAGCTGAGAAGCTGCTTCAGTGGTTCCTGGAAGAAGGCAAGCAGGAGTGCTTTGCGGCCTGCCTTTTCACATGTTACGACTTGCTGCACCCAGATGTAGTGCTTGAGTTGGCGTGGAGGCATAACATCATGGACTTTGCAATGCCTTATTTCATCCAAGTGATGAGAGAGTACCTTACCAAAGTGAGTATTGCATAGGCTAAAAAGTTAAGACTTCTAGTCTGCTGGATGATTAGCATTATGCAAACCAGAGCTATTTGCATGTATTTGGAATACTGTTGTTCCTCATAGACTAAGCCTTCTACGAAGTTCTGTGGGTTTAATCACTTCAGGCTAGCCAGCAAAATTTATAAATAGATGCTTTGGGAGTTGAAAGAGGTCTAGTTAAATTTTTGCTTTTAACAGTGGACATAAGCTACTGTGTGCTTTTCAGAGCAGCTTCATAGTTGATGAAGCTGAAAACTTGGTGAGGACAACCTGTATCACTTTTACTTTGTGTAACTATGGAAGTACTCTGATTTCTTTTTACAGAAAATATAGCTTTTGAGTAACTAATGGTACACACTAGTCCTACATCTGCCATAGGAATAGACTGCTGAAGATGACTTTTTAAAATGGAAACCAGAACTTTAGATGCATAGTCTGGCTGTACAATACTGATACCAACAGCTAGTCCTCAACTGGGAGAAAAGAGATTCCGATCGTGTGTTGTCCTGAAATGCTTGTCTCAAACAGCTCTAAGATACTAAGCTAAGATCCTTCCTTAGAAGTCTGTAGGCTTGCATAGGACATTACAGTAAAGAACTTCATTAAAACGAGTAATTTAAAAGTGACTGCTTCAGATTGCTTCTAATCAAGTCATGTTAAGTGTTCCCCTCTGAATTTTCTTGCAGGTTGATGGGCTGTTCTATAAGGTGACACTCTGATTTCAAACTCTTTGTGTTCATTTGTGTCCCTCAATATCCTAGGTTTCTTTTGCAGGAATCTAGCTGTAGCTTCTGCCAGAAGAGCAGTGTAATTTAGCTCTAACTCATTTCCTGTTCACTCTCTAATGCTAAAAGGATAACGATTCACAAGCAACTTGAAAATCCAACCAGACTCAGCTCCTCTTCATGGGAAACAGAAGCAAGTGATTGAGGAGGACTTGAGTGTTTGGGCTCCTGTTCACTATGTTACAGATACCGTGTGGCAGGGAGGATGTTGTTCATAAGTAAACAAAAGCAGTTGCCACGTAATGGGATGTGTCCTAAGTGCAAATTACTTGTTTGCTGCAAATCAGTGAAGTACGCAATCTTTCAGGCATGGTGAGTTTGAATAGTAGCGTAAAGCTTCTGTAAACTTCTTGCCTGTTAGCATGCTGAAAGTATTGACACAGATCTTTAAATGCTGCTGCCTCCTTATATTCCACTGAGGAGAAACTTGCCACACAAGTTCACCTGAACTCTTCCATGTGAGGTTGAGGTCTGAAATCATGGGTTTTAAACTGCTGGTTGGATTTACAAGTAATCACACGTACTAAATACGGGATAACTTGCCAGAAGGAAAATCTGCATGGTGAAAGTGGTTTACAGTGGAACTAATTTAGTCTGTTGAATTAACTGCAAAACATGGAACTAGAGAATGGGCTTTATAAATGTGTTATGTCTAAAACTGTCATGTAACTAACTTCAAAAGTAAAAAAGAATATACTAGTTTATCAGCCAGATAATCTTCCAGAACTTATCCTTCTTTTATGCATAAAAAGGTATTAAAGCACAGAATAGGCTATGTCCCAGAAGGGGCCTTTTGAACAACTTCACTTCTAGGCAGGAAATCACACCGATGTTTCGGTTTTCCTGGAGAGCTGCTCTTGTACCTTCTTCAGGACTTCTGCTGTCAGCATGCTTGCTGTTTCTCCAACAGAGGGAGTAACTGCACTTTTGTTCCAAGTTTCCGTACTGCTTTAGGGGCAGTAAAGAGGAAAATCTAATTCAAGAGAGAGTGGGAATCCCCGGTGTTAAGTAGAGTGATACAACTAGTTTAAAACTTAAAATTGCTTTGGTCAATAGTAATATGGATAGTATTTAGTGTTATCCCGAAAAGCCGTTAGGCTGACAGCTATCAATGAACCAGTTGAAGACCTACTACCACTCAAGTTACTAATTAGAGTTGCAAACTTCAAAAAGTCCACGAAACTGTTAAACAAACACCACACCTAGATAACATCTCTGAAGTATAACAGAGACCCTTCTTGCAGCACTTCTCAGACCAGATATGATTCTCGCAGTGGGAAAGGAGGATGAGGAGCAGCTGAAACACAGCAGTGGGCTAAATGTAGGTTTGCCCAGGATGTTAGTACTGCCTGTATCTGGATGTGAAGCTGTGTGATTTTTATGCCCTGCAGTCTTCAGTCTTAATGGTTCTCTTATGGAAGATGTAATTTGTTAAAACTGAGAGAAGGAAGATGCTGTTGCCTTATCAGATTATTCCCCCCACCCCCAATTCAGAGTTGTGTTCAGCGCTCCTGTGTTACTGTAGCACTTTCACAAATGTGTTTAGCATGAACTGAGCTTTATTTGGCACGACACTGGGATCTGTATAAAGCTACTAGACCAGTTTCCGTGATGGTTCTAGAGTTTCTTCTAAAAGGAGTCTAGTGGTTTAACTGTATTAGTATTCACATACTCTGCAGCCCAAGTTAGGCTGTATTCCCAGATAAGATCCAACCTCATGGGTCTGGAATATTTGCAAATATCTGGGTTCTTCTTGTTGAAGGGGAGAGGGATTGCAGGTTAATAGATAAGTGTAGATTAGGCCCATTTGAGATGGTGCTTGGAACTGCAATCCAATGGGCTTTTTTTCTGGGTCATAGAGTTAACAGTGACTAAATAGGGCCCCAAAAAGCGTTTCACTTGAAGGTAATGATGATCTTGGCTGCATTTGACAGCTATTGTTTATTGCAGTAAACCTAAAGCAATTGGGAGGGCAGGTTTACAACATAGCTTGCTGGGAACACGCAGACTTTTGTAGTCTCCAACTTGGACTAATAAAATGAGCACTTAATAGCTTAGGTACCAGGCATGAAAAGCCTCACACGATGGTGCAATTCCTAGACAAGGCCTTCATACATCTCCTGTTCGCTTCAATGTAGGTGGATAAACTTGATGCTTCTGAAAGCCTAAGAAAAGAAGAGGAACAAGTAACTGAACCCACTCCAATAGTATTTGGTAGGTGAAAGACTTGGTTTTAATTGATTACCTATTGTCATTCTGGTCTCTTTTTGTGGAGGTAACTTAAATGACTACCTCCAGTTGAAGTAAACTGGTTTCAACTAGATAGTAAAATGGTTGTCTCTGCTAGATGAACTGCATAAGTTACTGAAGTGACATCTCACTCTTGCAGTACTTTGACTCTTCAGCTAAAGTATTTCTCCTCTTACATGGCTCAGAACTCTAGCTCAGGAATAGTCTTTCAGGATGATAACGGGGCAGGGAACACCAAGGTGTGCACAACCCCAGGAATAACTTACAGAGCATGCAAATTCCTCCTGTTACTTCTATCTAAGAGGAACGTGTCTGCCTTCTGCTCTTCCAAGTAGAAAGGCAGACTGGCTTTCTAGCTCACCCATTTTAAGACACGTGCAGCCAAAAAAATGTGGCTGTGCTCAAGTGTGCTGCTATTCTAGAAGCCCTTCTGAAGAGGCATTCTGCTAACGGGCACCTAGAAGTGGCTGGTAAGGGAAGGATGTGACTGACTCACTGTCCAATGTAAATGTTAACCTGAATTTAACATACGCATGAGGCATGTGTGCTCCTAATGAAGAAGACAAACCTGTCAAGGTATGGTTTTGGGCCTTTTGCGGCACCCTCCAGACTGTGAGACATAACAGACCTAACTATTTGCTTGAATTGCTTTACTCTTCAGTTCTGACCATGCATGGGTTAAATGGTATCAGTTTGTTTGGCTTTCAGTATGGTCTCTTCAAAACAAGCCAGGTTTATCATTCCCTCAAGATCAGTTGATACTCATCTTCCCTCTGAGTTCTGCCTTGCTTCTGTAGTTTTCTGGTAGCAAGAGCAGGTGGCCTAGATGCCCACTCCGTGGTGCATGTTGAGTAATAGTGTGACTTGCTAGCGTATGCTTGCACAGTGGCTGATTTTTAGCTAAAGCCTCACAATCCTGTCCCATAGTACAGCTAGCATTAGGGAAGCTTGTGTTCTTAAACTAACTTGGTTGTTTTTCTCATGCTTTTCTAGGCCAGCAGTTGATGTTGACAGCAGGCCCCAGTGCAGTACCTCCCCAGGCAAACTTCCCATATGGATACACAGCACCGGGATTCACCCAGCCGCCTGTTTATGGTTTCAATATGTAACTAGCTCTCTGACAGACCTTCACTGTCTCTGTTCTCTTCCTTCCCGTCCCTTTTTAACTTCTCCAAGAAGTGTACAATGGTCCTAAAGGCAGAGATGACCTTCTGTTGGCTGAACACACTTGCTGCCCGGCTCAGTGAGGAGACTTCAACGGGATGCCTGTTACTGTTATTTATTGATTATTGTCCGGTTACATTTCAACCTCTGAAAGGCAGCTTTTGTTAATGACATTGTGAGACTCTTGTCTGAAGTTAAGGCACTATTTCACTAACTCATATAGCAATAACTGCTTGAGGCCAGGGGGAAGAGAGCATATTTTTCTTTCTTTTGCAAAGCCTATTGAAGGCAGCTGGGAAATTGCCTGGCACCAAGTTGTTAAAGCTTTAGCTGAAGCTACTGAAGTAGCAGGGTTGTTAACAATTCGGTGAAGCATCTCGTTAATAATGAATTGTTGGAAGCTTGTGTACATCTGAGTACCCCATTTTATTTGCAGTCTTATGTGCAAAAGAAAATGGGCTTTCTAATATTTGTGCTCTGAATATTTAGAGGAATATTGGGAAGGTCTCTTTTTCTGGACAATAACGCTGTTGGGGTTCAATGCTGTTGGAGTCTGTTCTATATTTTCTGGAGTAGATCTGAGACTTGAAGAAAATAAATCTTCTCATGCCAGAGAGCAAACATTTCCCAGATCCTTTTTGTTTAACAAGAGAGCATGTTACTTGTTGATGTTAAATGGTACTAAAGGAAACCTCAGCTATGTGTGGCAAGTGAACATAGGAGTGTGCATGGGCTGCCAAAGTACTAGAGATGCAAGAGCACAGTGTCGGGGTTGGGGAGGGGGACACACTGCTAAAATATTGAGGCAGTAGGGAGGGCCATAATCCTGACTTTTTATTTGCACCTTTTAACTGATTCTGGCATTGCTTT